GTGCACGGCTCGCGCGCGGCGGAGGAGGGCGTGGCGCAGGGCCGCGCGCAGCACTGCGGCACTGTCGAGCCGTGCGGCCGACTGAGGCGACGCGTCGCCTCTCCCAAGGCCGTGCTTGCAAAGGCGCTCGCGTGAGCCGGTCCGAGCGATGCCCCCTTTTTTGCACAGGCGGCCGCCGCTCCGCCTCTCGCTGGCCGTGCTCGAGGCGGCGGCGGTGGCGCTGGACGAGCTGCGCAAGGGGCTCGGCGAGGACCGCACCCAGCTGGCCGAGGTGCGGCCGTACGTCGAGAAGCTGCGCCGCGCCGACTCGCTGCAGCTGAGCGAGGATCGGGTCGAGCAGTCTGGCTTCGAGCAGCTGATGACTCTCGAGCGAGGCGAGCCGAGATCACCCGAGATCACCCGAGAGTAGCAGCTGATGACTCTCGAGCGAGGCGAGCCGAGATCACCCGAGATCACCCGAGAGTAGCAGCTGATGACTCTCGAGCGAGGCGAGCCGAGATCACCCGAGATCACCCGAGAGTAGCAGCTGATGACTCTCGAGCGAGGCGAGCCGGCGGCGGCGCCTAGTGGGTGAATGAGTACTTGTGACTGAGCAATGACCTCCTTCTCGAGGCGAGCCGGCGACGGCGCCGTGCCCGATCTGCTACGAGATGATCGGCTCACATGGCCCGCCTGTCTTCACCGACTGCGCGCACTGCTTCTGCAAGCAGCGCCTTGCGCAGCGGATGCCACGCGAGATCACGCGAGATCACCCGAGGTTGCTCGAGGTAGGCAAGCAGTGCCTCACGCAGTGGATGACCGCACAGCGCGTGCTCGGCGTCGAGGCCGACCGCCAGGCATCTCAGCTTCTCCCTCCAGACCTCCGCCGCCCCTCCTCAACCTCTCCCCACCCCCTATTTAGCCTCCTCTCAACACCGATGCCCGACCTCCCCTCATCTCCCCAGACCCCCCCCCCCCCCCTCTCCCCCTTCCCTCCCTCTCTGTCCATCTCTCCCCTCCCCCTTCCCCCCACAGGGAGGGTCGAGCCAGCAGTACCTCTGCCCGTGCTGCCGCAAGCCCTTCACGCAGCGCGAGCTCACCGAGATCGTGCTGCCTCCGCCGGCCAGCGAGGCGGCCGACAAGGCGGGCGGCGGCGGCGACGGCGCGGACGGCAAGAGCGGAGGCAAGAGCGGCGGCAAGAGCGGCGGCAAGAGCGGCGGCAAGAGCGGCGGCGGCAACGGGGCGCGGGGCGCGGGAAGCAGCGGCGCAGGCAGCAGCCGCGGCGGCGGTGGCGGCGGCGGCGGCGGCTGCACCAGTGGCGAGGGCGGCCCGCGGTACGTCGCTGCCTTCACGCTGGAGGAATGCCGCGATCGCTTTCCATTCTTGGGGACGGCGATGCCCCCGCGCGTGCTTCGCTACCCGTCGGTGCCGGCGACGCTGCTGAGCCACATGCAGGCCGCGACCGGCCTGCCGCCCGCGGCATCGGCGCGCTCCCCGGCCTCGAGCGCGACGCTGCCAGGAGCCTTCTCGGAGCCCTCTTCTCGGAGCGTTCCTGTGTAGGCGCGCTCCCCGGCCTCGAGCGCGACGCTGCCGAGCGCAAAGGTCCTGAAGCTGCTGGCGGACCTCGAGGCCTTGGGCGAGGACGAGCACGGGGCCCCTCGCAAGGCGGTGGCCGTCTCGCTCCTCCCCCACCCGCGGTCCCCCGAGGCTAGCCGAGGTATGGCCGAGAGATAGGCCGTCGTCTTCTCCCAGCACCGCGCCGTGGTGCGACACCTCGACTTTGTGCTGGGCGTGCGCGGCGTCTCCCACGTCTCCATCTGCCAGGGCGACCAGGCCGCGGCGCGCGACGGCGCAGTCTCCACGTGGACCGAGACGCCCTCGTGCAAGGTCTTCCTGCTACACGCCGGCGCGGCGGCGGCCGGCCTCACTCTGGTGGCTGCGCGGCACGTCTTTCTGATGGAGCCGTTCATCACGCCGGGCCAAGAGCTGCAGGCGCTCCACCGGTCCGGTCCCACCGAGATGACCCGAGATGACGCGAGATCACCCAAGATCACCCGAGATGCAGGCGCTCAACCGGTGCCACCGCATCGGCCAGTCGCAGTCCGTCAGCTGCACGACGTACTACTGCGAGCGGACCGTCGAGGAGCGGCTGCTGGCCCTCCGCGCGCTCGAGGGGGAGGCGCGGCTCGCCGCCTCGCCGCCGCCTCAAAGGGGCGCGCGGAAGATGCCTCACCGAATCGCACCCGCGGGCGTAGGCGCCGCCACAGCAGCAAGGCGCCGCCGCCGCGGCCGCGGGCGAAGAGGAGGAGGATGAGGGGTCGCTCTCCCTCCTCGAGGGCGGCGCGCTGCCCGCCGTGCCTGGGTCGGCCGGCAACACCTCTGGCCCGGCGCTGTCGTTGCAGAGGCTCTCCTCGTCCGCACATCTCTCTCCTTGCGAGTCTCGCCTCTCTCTCTCTCTTAGGCGCTGTCGGCGGAGAAGCTCCGCTTCCTGTTTGGCTTGTTGGATGCTCCGGCGGATGGTCCGGCGCAGCCGCAGCCGCAGCCGCGCGGAGGCGGCCCCGAGGGGATTGAGGACGACGAGGAGGAGGAGGACGACGACGACGACGACGACGAGGACGAGGAGGACGACGAGTGAGCCAACGAGGCAGGGACTCGAGGCCGGGACGTTGCGGCCGGCGGCGCAGGAATCGCCGGCGGCAGGAGGGGGAAGGGTGGACAGGGGTATTGGCGAGAAAGAGGGGATTGGTGAGCGCAATTCGCGTGCGGCCGACGCTTGGTTGAGCCTCGCGTGTGTTGCCGCAATCGCGTGTCGGGGGGGGGGGGGGCAAGTGCGCCGTGGGGAGCAAGGACGGTTCTGGTCACTGGTGCGCCGCGACGCGGGATTTGGGGCGAGAGGGTGGAGGGAGCGGAGCTGAGAGCGGGTTTCTGCGCAATACGGTGCTCTCGTCTCTGAGACTGGTTCACTGCTCTGGAAAACTATTGAAGTCGCGTGACCACCAAGCGGCATCATGAACCCACGGGCATGATCGCATGATGATGAACCGGAAAATCTTACAGCTAGCAGTCCAGTCGCTAAAGCGTAACTTTACACGGACCGCGGCGGGCGGGGGGGCGGCGCCCGGCGAGAGCCTCCATGTCGTCCGGGTGTGGAGATGCGAGGGTCGCCCCCCTTGCCCCACCACTTTGTGTGTGTCGTGGAGAAATTTACCTTACCTTACCTTACCGTCCGGCGACCGCGGTCTCTCTGCATTGACCATTGTCGCACAGACCACACTGCACACATCTCATGGGTCTCTGCCATATTTATTATGTGCTGTAGGCTGTAGCCCCGCGGGGAAGCGCGGTGTTCGTACATTGTAAAATGCACGCAACCAATGATATGATAGGAACCAATCCTCCCGTCGATTGCAGCTACTCGTCCTCCTCGCTGCCGTCAGAAGAGGCTGGCGTGCTCGGCCGGATCGCCCACACCTCGATCTTCTTAGCGTCTGGTCCGACACGTCCTCTCCGTGGCCTAAGCGGCCGAGTCCGCCAGCGCCCCAGGTAAAGACAGTGCTGTCGGCTGTGAGGGCGAGGCTGTGGACTGCTCCAGCCGACACAGCGACGACCCGCTGGCCAGCGAAGGCCTCGACCTTCTTCGGCACCAGCTGGTTCTGCTCGTCGCTGTGGCCTAACCGGCCCTGACGTCCATCGCCCCAGCTCCAGACAGCGCCGTCGGCGGTGAGGGCGAGGTTGTGGTCGTCTCCAGCCGAGACAGCGACGACGCGCTGCCCAGCTAGGGCCTCGACCTTCTTCGGCAGCAGCTGGTCCTGCTGGTCGCCGTGGCCCAGCCGGCCTTGGTATCCCCAGCCCCAGCTCCAGACGGCGCCGTCGGCGGTGATGGCGAGGCTGTGGTTGGCTGCTGCCGACACAACAACGACACGCTGCCCTGCCAACGCCTCCACCTTCTTCGGCTGCCACTGATTCTGCTCGTCCCCGTTGCCCAAGATGCCAGAGAAACCTTCGCCCCAGCTCCACACAGCTCCGTCGGTGGTGAGGGCGAGACTGTGCATGAGTCCAGCCGACACAGCGACGGCGCGCTGCCCAGCTAGGGCCTCGACCTTCTTCGGCAGCAGCTGGTCCTGCTGGTCGCCGTGGCCCAGCCGGCCAAACAGTCCATGGCCCCAGCTCCAGACAGCGCCGTCGGCGGTGAGGGCGAGGCTGTGGCTGCTTCCAGGCGACACCGCGACGACGCACTGCCCAGCCAGGGCGACAATCTTCTTCGGCTGCCACTGGTCCTCCAGGCCGTGTCCCATGCCCCACCAGCCGCAGCCCCAGGACCAAACGGCGCCGTCCGCGGTGAGAGCGAGGCTGAAGTATTGTGCCGCCGACACACTCACCGCGCGCTCGCCTCCGCGGGGCGAAGGGAGACGGGTCGGCGTCTTCAGCTGCAGCACGCCCTCGCCGTGGCCGAGAAGGCCTGGAAACTCCTCCTCTTCGTCCTCCTCGTCCTCCTCGCCCGCCGCTGCCGCGCCGCACGACGAGAGCCGCCCCTCGCCGTCGATGAAGACGCTGTGCCGATAGCCTGCCGACGCCCTCGCCGGCGTGTTGGCCTCGCGCAGCATGGCATAGAAGCACAGCCACCGCACGGCACAGCTCTCGCCCTCTGGCTGCGCCGGCAGCTCGAAGCCGCGCTCTTGCGCCCACAAGCGGATGCCCTCCAGCGCAAGCGAGGCGTGGAAGAGCAGCGAGACGGCCGCGACGCGAGCGATGTCGGCGGGGTCGCAGCGGGAGACGGCGCGCACGAGGAGGTCCGTGGGGAGGTCGAGGAGGCGGGCGGGCGGCGGCGTCCCTGGCGAGGGAGCGGCGGCGGAGGAGGTGAGGCGGCGCGAGCGGCGCCGCGGCGGGGTGGACATCGCGAGGAAAAGAATCTTACAACAAAACTCCCTCGCACAACACTGGGCACGGGACTGGCGCGCACTGGCACGAACACAGGAAAAGAATTTTACGGCGCCAGGAAAAGAAATGCAAAACATCGGCATATGGTTGCGACCGCCTCCGACCCTTCCATCGTCGACCGCCTCTGGTCCATCCTGCCGTGGCTCTACTGCTGGCACTGGTACGGATCGGCGCCCACGCCGCGCGGGCTGCTCCTCGCGACGCTGGCTTCGATCTGGGGCCTCCGCCTGACCGCCAACTTTGCACGCAAGGGCGGCTTCTCGGGCGGCGAGGACTATCGCTGGGCAGAGATCCGCACCTGGCCCGGCTTCGACCGCGGTTGGGAGGTCTTCAATCTGCTCTTCATCTGCGGGTGCCGCGCTGCCCTCGCCAGTAACCCGCGCGTCGCGGCGTCGCCATACATGCCCCTGCCACCGCCTCTCACACCGCCTCGCTGCTTCACCAAAGCTTCCGCGGCGAGGGCAGGGCGTCCGTGGGGTCCTGTTTAGACGCCCACGGTTCCAGCAGCTCGTCCTCCTCGCCTTCTCGTCGCCCGCGGCGGCGGCGGCCAGCTCGGACGTGCCGCTCAACGCACTCGACGCCGCGGCGACGGCGCTCTACCTCTTGCTGCTCGCGGGCGAGGCGACGGCAGACCGGCAGATGATGCGCTTCCAGACGGAAAAGTACCGCCGCCTGCGCGCCAAGGAGCCGCTCGGCGCCGAGTTTGGCCGCGGTTTCCTCTGCTCTGGCCTGTGGCGCTACCCCCGGCTCCACCGGTTCCGAGAGTGTCGTGTCGACGGCCCGGCCGAGGTTTCCCCGGGCGAGGGCGGTGGCATAGGGTCGCGTCACCTCCCCTCCCCGGGAGGTCGGGCCGGCTCTCCCTGGTCGACGAGTCGCGCCCGCATCCGCGGCCTCTCTATCGTCCTCGGCTCGCCCCTCCCCTCCGCTGGCCCCTCATCGAGCTCGGAGGGCCGTGGCTCCCCTTGCCGTAGATCCCGGTGGTCCGGCTGCCGCCGCGACGGGTCTACCCCCGGTGGGCTCGCACGGCCCGACTCCACTCGCAGAGGCCGAGTCAGCTCGGCCCTCCCCTCCCCCGATAGTTGACTCCAGGCCTCGCCTGGGGCCCTCCGGTCCTGGCCCTCCGGATTGCTGGACGGCCCGCCGTCTCCCCACGGTACCTCCTCCCCCTCGGTCCTCCCCCGGGTACTCCAGCCTCCGACGGGGCGGTTCCGGCCCCCCCAGGCTTCCGCGCGGGTCGGTGCGGTGACGACCACGTCGGCGGCGGGGGCGGAGGCGGCGGAGGGGGGGGTGGGTACGGTGGCGGCACCGGCGGTCGCATCGCTCGGTACAGGGCCTCAGAGGCGGCCCCTCGACCCATCGGCCGCTCCAGCGGTGGTGGCAGAGGCGATTGTGGGGGGGGCGGGTATGGTGGCGGTGCTGGCGGCCGCAACGCCTGGCGCGGGGCCTCGGGGGCGGCCCCCTGCCCCCGCGGTCGTTCCAGACGCGGTTCCACACGTCGGCCGTCTACCACACTCGGGGGGGGGGGGGGCTAGTCCGCGTCTCCCCTCGAGAAGGGAGGGGGCCAGGGCCCGGATTCGCCGACGGCCCCTCCTCTCCCTCCCCCCGCTCCGCACCAGGCCGTAGAGCAGTACTTCGGACCCCACGCCTCACGCCGCCCGCTCCTCGTCACGGCCGTCTACGGCGCCTACGTCCTCATGCCGGTCCTGCTTCTCGTGCGCGTATGGAGCGTGGACGTGTTCCCGAGCACGCCGCTCGCCAAGCGCAAGGAAATTGCCGCGTCGCGACGGCAGCAGATTGACGCAGGAGCCTCCCATCCTTCCCTTTTTAGCCCCCCGCTACCAAGTTGCACTCGTGCGACGTAGCGGGGGGCCACGACTACGTTTACGAAACATAAGTAGTCCCGCGAGGTGTGAATTTGGCCGCCCAGTTATACGGTGAACCTTCTTTTGTAGACCGCTAGGATTGAGAGCAGCCTCGCTCTCAATCCTAGAAGTCGAAGGATTGTGAGCAGCACTCCTCGCAATCGTAGCATCTCTGCGATTGTGAGCCCTTACGCTCGCAATCCTACATCTTCTAGGACTAAGAGCAGCTCCGCTCACAATGTGACTGGTGACACCTACGACTACTACCAGCGCGCTCGCAATCCGAGCAAAGTCTAGGATGCGAGCAGCTTTGCTCACAATCCGAGCAACATGCCTCCGATTGCGAGCAGTAGCGCTCGCAATCCTACATCTTGTAGGACTATGAGCGGCGGCGCTCACAATCGTACCCAAGATCCAAGGATTGCTAGCACACGCACAGAGGGCACTCCCAATCGCTCCAGCCGCGAGCGCTTGTGAGTGAGCGCGCCGGGGGGGTCTCCTCACAATCCAAACGATCGATTGCAAAACCCTGCACCGGGAATTTTTTCTTGACGGCTCAACCCCCGCGGCGTCTGTCGAACAGGCAATTGGTGTGACGCGACCGGCAATGGCTGCAGCACGGTCCACGGGCACCCGGCCCCCGCACGGTATGCAGACGTCTCAGCCGAGCTTCGACCCCACCCGCGGCGAGTGGGGCGGGATCTCGCTCTGCGAGCTGCGATCGTCCCCGGCGACGCTCTCGGGCTGGCCTCTGGACGGTGCGGGCTTCACCGTCGAGGAGATCGTCGGGCGAGGCGCCAACGGCGTCGTTGTGCGGGCGGTGAGCGCTGCGAGCCGGTGGCAGGGTCCCCGCGCGGTGGCGCTCAAGGCAGTGCCGCGCGGGAATAGCAGCGCGCGCGAGCTGGCCCTCATGCTGCGCCTCCGGACCGCCGAGGCCCACGCGAACCGCATCATCCAACTCGAGTCCTACTTCTTCGACCGCGAGGGCAGCCTGCTCGTGCAGGTACTGCCGCTCTTCGACTCGTCGCTCCGCGCCTACATCGACGAGGCGCCGCGTGCCACCGACCCGCTCAGCAACATCGAGCTCGCGCGCAGCGCCGGCCGCCAGCTCGCCACCGCCCTCGCCCACGTTCACCGCCTCGGCATCGTACATCGAGACGTCAAGCCCGAGAATGTGCTGGTCTCGCACCGGCGGGGCAGCGCAGACGGCGCGGACATTATCTGCGTGCTCGCTGACTTTGGCGCCGCGAAGGACCACAGCCGCGGCGCCGCCGAGTCCTCCCCCTCCCTGTGCTACGTCTGCGCCCTCGAGTATCGTGCTCCGGAGCTCTTCTTCGCCGCGACAGACTACACGTGCCCCCCCCTCCCGCGCCCCACGGCCGCGATCTCCGGAGCTCTTCTTCGCCGCGACAACCTACACACCACCCCTCCCCCCCACCCCCCACGGCCGCGATCGCCGCGGGCTGCACGCTCGCCGCCTCTATCCGCCCCCACCCTACGTCCCCGATGCCCACCTGCCGCGAAGGTTCTCGCCCGACATCTGGGGCCTCGGCTGTGTCGTCGCCGACGCGATGCTGGGCGGGCCTCGCCTCTTCGAGACCGACGCCGCCGCCGCCGCGAGCCTCGCCTCCGCGGGGTCGGGCTCGCCCGCGCAGCTGGTCACGCTGGTTGGAAGACTGGGCACGCCGAACGAGGAGGACATGCTGGCGATGAACCCGCGGCTGGAGCGCGACCCGTACCTGTATCGGCTGCTACAGCTGCCTCCGCGGCCACACGAGGACGGTGGCTGGCAGCGACGGCTCACCGATGGCGTCAAGGCCAACCACCCGGGCGGCCGCGCGCGGATGCAGTGGGCCGACGAGAAGGCGGTCGAGGCGCCACTGAACGCTGCCAAGCGGTTTCTGCAGCGCATCTTTGTGTACCGGCCGGGGTTGCGACCATCGGCAGAGGCTTGCCTCGGCCAGCCATTTCTCGCGCGGTGGTCGGGGGGCTGAGACTGTGCTCGACGGGAGAGCGACGAGATGGAGCGTGAGGTGGCATGGCACGCCTTCGTGGCAATACGCCCACGGGGGCCAAGGCGGGGGCGCGGGGAAGCAGCATCAGGTGCGAGAGCAGGAAAGGTGGCGCTTCTGGTCGGGCCGGCTGTGAACACGAATTCCCCAGCACAGGTTTTAGATCAGTATTGGCCGCACGAGGTCAGCGGCGCGCGACGCGCCGCTCTCGCAGGCTGCTTTTGGCTGTTTTCCGCATCGTTTCGCGGAGAGTTTTTGTTTATGTTTTCAGAGACGGTGGGTCCACAGATCCAGAGATCAACGGGAGACGGCCCGGCCGCCTGCGCCAACACGTTCATTTGATTCACGATGAATTGGAAAGCGGCGCGGAACATGTAGAGGCGCCCCCGGGCTACATTCTCCCTAGGTACAGAAAGAGCGTTTTGCATTCATGACAGATGTGTCACACACAGGACCCCACACCACCAGTATTGCCCGCTGGCCTGCCCTGGGGCTCGGCACCCCTCCATCCCCAGATCCACTGACCGTATGCAGCTAAAGATCGTTAGACGGGTGTTCCCTTTCGGTGCTTAGCCTTACAATGGACGTATTCGCATTAGACATCACACGGCGGGCGCTTCCCGTGTGTCGCCACACGGGGGACGCACGCAAGAGGAACGACGTCGACGACGACTGTGAGTCCACCGGGAGAGTGGAGGAGGCCGTCCAAGACGGACGTCCCAAACGCGGGGCTGGGAGGAGGTCAGAACGTCCCCACCTTAACAGGAGTTTGCAAGGGGAGGGGCGCAACGCACACGGGGAGGGGCTGGCTACACGCGACACGGGGGGTACTCTCTCGCACATGGGCGCCGCCTCCCCACATCTCCCCGCATCTCCCCTACATCTCCCCACATCTCCCCACATCTCCCCACATCTCCCCACATAGGCGCCGCCTCGCCGCGCTCGATAGCCACCACGTCGATCTTGTCGCGCTCCTACGAGGTGGAGATACGGGGAGATGCGAGGAGATGTGGGGAGATGTAGATGTGGATGTAGACGTCGGGGCGGGAGTGCGGCCTCGCGCGGCGCGCACAGAGCACCGCGTGAATGCGAGGCATACGAAGGAGCACAGCCGAGTCGTGTCCTCTCGAGCGCTATCGATCCTGGACCGTGTTTGTTATGACCCCCCCAATGAGCTCACCAGCGAGGGTGGGCGAGACCATCGTATCGAGGGGTCCCGTACCATGCGGAATCGACCCTATCCAGTGCTCAAGTGCTCAAGCAGGCGCACAGAGGGCAAGCGCTCGCGGCTGGAGCGATTCATGACCGTGAGAGGGAGAGGCGATGGCAATGAACGTGAGAGGGAGAGCGGGGCGTCGGTCCGACACTGCATTCATGAAACTTGACTAGCTGATACCGCCGTCGGCTACGAACTCCGGAGAGTGCTATTAGCACAAAAAAATCACAGAAAATTCACAAGCGCTCGCGGAGCCGAGCCACGCGTCACGCAGCAGCCCTGAGGTGCCCTGAGCACACATGCGAGCGCCCACATGGTCATATCTCGTCGTGCACTCGCCTGACAGTAGTTTGCGGAAGACCGCCGCCAGCCAGCATGTCGTCGCATCGGCGCTGCCGGTGGGCGAAGGCAGCCACCGCGGGTCCAGCAGCGCGAGCGAATGTAGTGGTGCTAGTACGTGTTAGTAGTGCTATGTAATGCTATGCGTTTTGTGGTATGGAGCACTTGGAGCACTTCTCTTGGAGTGCAGTTAGTAACCTCACATCCAGGGCCGGGGAGCTAAGAAGCGCACCCAGCGGGCCGGATGATCGGCATCGGGCTATGGGCTAGAGAGCCCTGACCCCTAGGGGGGGGTGCGCGTTCGCAGGGGAAGGGCCATAAAGTAAACACAGTTCTCCGAGGGTTGGACCCGCGTACCGGGTTTCCCCTTAACTGCAGGACGCCCCCTCTACTCGGAGCTAGTGGACATTACACTGTACACCACGCCCAAACACAGACACTTGCTTAGTCCTCGGTCCCGGAGCTCCACCTTCCGTCCTCCCGGGGCTCCGGTTCTCCCCGATTCGCTCTCTTGCTCGCTTGCCGAGCGTCATACGACGGCCGGTGTGGTCGTTTCCCTCGTTGTTGGTGTCGCTTTCTCCGCTGCCGCCTTTCGTCTTCGCCGGCGTCCCCCGGCTCCACCGGTTCTGAGAGTGTCGACGGCCCGGCCGAGGTTTCCCCGGGCGAGGATGGCGGCATTGGATCGTGCCGCCTCCCCTCCCCGGGAGGTCGGGCCCGCTCTCCCTGGTCGACGAGTCGCGCCCGCACCCGCGGCCGCTCTATCGTCCTCCGCTCGCCCCTCCCCTCCGCTGGCCCCTCATCGAGCTCGGGGAGGCGTGGCCCTCCTTGTCGCCGATCCCGGTGGTCCGGCTGCCGCCGCGACGGGTCTACCCCTGGTGAGCTCGCACGGCCCGACTCCACTCGCAGAGGCCGAGTCCCGACCCCACTCGCAGGGGGCCGAGTTAGCTCAACTCTCACCCCCTCCGACAGTTGACTCCAGGTCTCACCCGGGGCCCTCCGGTCCCGGCCTTCCAGTTCGCTGTCTCCCCACGGACGGCATCCCCCCCCCCTCGGTCCCCTCCCTCGGGTTCTCCAGCCTCCGGCGGGGCGGCTCCAGAAGTCCAGATCCCCCAGGTTCCGTGCGGGTCCGTAGCTCCGTACGGTGACGGCTCCTCCTTCGGTCCCCCCCCTCGGGTAGCCCAGCCTCCGACGGGGCGGCTCCGGGTTCCCAAAAGTTCGTGTGGGTCCGAGCGGTGGCGGCCACGCCGGCGGCGGGGGTGGAGGCGGCGGGGGGGGGGGGCGGGTACGGTGGCGGCACTGGCGGCCGTAACGCCTGGTGTGGAGCCTCAGGGGCGGCCCCTTGACCCTGCGGTCGTCCCAACGGCGGGGGCGGAGGCGGAGGGGGGGGGGGCGGGTACGGTGGCGGTACTGGCGGCCGCGACGCCTGGTGTGGAGCCTCGGGGGCGGCCCCACGACCCTGCGGCCTCTCCAGCCGCGGCTCCACGCGCCGATCCTACCGCTAGCTCTCAAAAAGAAACAAAACACCCGACGACACCACAGGAGGAGACAGGGAACAGGCCGGAGACAGAGCCCAAGGGCATCTGCCCCCGCCACGCGAGAGGAAGAGGCCCATCGAGTCCCTGCCCCAGCTTCCCACACTAGCACCACACACTCAGGCCCGAAGCCCATCTACACCGAGAGCTAACGCCCACGTCGCTGTGGCAGCGACGCACCCCACTTCACCCGCCGGCGCGGTCAGGTGGAGGTCCTCTCTTGTGAGGGGGAGAGGCCGTACCTTAGGCCGCCGTTGAGCCGCAGCTCCGCACGTGGCGACCCCCTCCCATGCGGCCGTTGAACGTCATCCTGTTGCCTCAAGCCCGCACGATGCCGGTGCGACGGCGACGTGCAGGTCGTAGGGGACGCCCGTCTGGTGGGACCCACGTCAAGGCCCAGCGCAGGAGGACGACACACCTACCGAGGGTCAGGACTTCCGCTGCATGTGACTCGGGGATTCACAACAAACAACCCGACGTGGACGCGTTCAACATTGGCACGGGCGGCAGGCGCTTTTCTGGCGATGTCAAGGTTGTCTGCCCTCTCACCAGCAGCGGGGGGCACGGTCGGAAGGGCGCCTTTGTCGCTTTCGGCAACACCGAGGCGTTCTACCGGAACATGGTCGTGGGGCATGGGCCCTACTGCGAGGAGGGAGAGGGAGGGAAGGGGGAGGGAGAGGGGGGGGGAGGGGAGTGTGAGGGGTACGGGGGCGAGGGCATGGAGGGGGAGAGGAAGAGCAAGGACGAGAGGGGGCAGGGGACGGGTCGATTGCATACAAAGGGGGGCAGGGTGGTGGGCGGCGATCGCCGCATACCGTCCTATGGCGGCGAGTACCGCTACGCCAGGGAGGACAAGGACGTCGACGTGCAGCTGCTGTTTGTTGTTCGAGTCGTTCGGTGGTAGGGTTGTCAAACGTTAAGAGCTGAACAGTGTTGCTAGTGTTAACAGTAACAACAGAACAACAGTGGGGCTCCCCAACAACAGTAGCCAACGTTAGGCCGGCTGAACAACAATAAGGAAGGCCTGGCAGTGACCCACGACGATCTCTAGTGTCCAGTGCGGGTAATACCCGAAATACCCGGGAAAACCCAGGTATTTTCGGGTTTTACCCGGGTTTTTGGCATTTTCTGCTTGCTGACCACTGAACAACAGTAACAACAGTAACAAACAGTAACAGCTTGGGCTGGGGAGAACACTTGAACAACGTTGAGGATTTCAGCCAACAATAGTGCAACTGTTAGGCCCAAAGTTAACGTTTGAAAACCCTATTCGGTGGGTTCGGGAAGGGGGTCGGCGGGATCCTCTGGAGGGCGGCGAACGCGCTGCAGAACAAGCTGACGCGGGCCCAGTACCTCGATGAGGTGACTTGGACCACCAAGAGCTGGCTGGGGCTGCAGAAGCAGCGCATCTCAGTCGTTCTCACACACGGCATCGCAGAGCAGACAGATTGTGAATGAGCTTGCCTGCGGCGAGGGCGGTCGAGTGCACGGAGCTAAGTGCCTCGCCGTCCTCGCGGGAGTCGCTTAGGCGGCTCCCGTGGTGTACCTGTGTTAGTGCCAGTGCGCGCCAGTCCCTGTCGTGCCCGAAAAAATTCTTTTACCGCGATTTTTTCAGGACTTGGCTTTTACCATGTGCCCCTTTTGCCTGCACAAGCTCTTAGCCCTCGCGTGCTGCCTCCTCCCCTGCCACGGCTGCGTGGACGACGAGGCGGAGAAGCTGTGGGTGCCCTGGAACGAGCAGGTCAGTCTGCACGGCTCGATCGACCTCGAGCAGGTCAACCGGCAGCTCAAACGTGACTATGAAAAGAACGACCGCGAGCTGCTGCGCGCAGTCACGTCCCGCGCGACGGTGCTCACACTCGACAAGGAGGACCACCCGAACGGCACCGCCTGGATGGAGCGTGCGCGCAGCGGCTGCATCTTTAGCGTGCTGTGGGCGACGCTGCCAGATGGGACCCGCGTCATGAACCAGGCGGGGAAGAGAGTCATCAATTACCGCGAGGAGGGGTGGAACGTGGCGCCGCGCTACCTGATCGCCGCGCAGGAGCAGGACCTCCTCGTCGGCAAGATGCAGATCCTCACCAAGCTCGTCGTCAACACCGACTCTGCGCACCAGAGGATTCGGTTCGCGCTCGTGGACGGGTGTGTGCGCAAGACACTGCGCACCTTGTGGTAGAGACAGCGGGAGAGTGGGGCCCACCTCCC